ATAACTCATTGTATGTCAAGCCCATTTCTTCGACAAACTCACTTTCTTCCAAGGGTGCTCTGAAATGAAAATAATTTATTAATGTTTAGGAATAGTGTGGACGCATCCTTAAAGGTGTTCCATGGATTACGATTGGTCGAAATAGATGTAAAATGATTTGATGAGAATAGAGTCGTTCTTTGATGATAAATACAAATAAATTAAAATGCTACTACTGTAAAATAAAAGGAAATCTCCACATCTAGGTTAGGTAACTAATTTTTACTGTCCTTAGGGATATTATCCTTTTCAATCTCTTTGCACTGGATTTTGGTGTTACACTGTTCTCATACAATTGATCTCACATAACTATGTAACTACAGAATTAAATTGTAAACCTAATTGAAAAGTAGCTTCAGTTGCAAATTTTTTGTTGACGTTCAAAATTACCTTTTTGTGTCTAATTGAAATAAATTATTTTGACTTTGACTTTGCATGAATAATAATTGTTACAATGAAATAACAAAACGTTACTTATTGTTATTACCGACTTCAACCACTACTAGAAATAACATAACATCACGTCTCTCATCCCCGAAGGGCTAGGCAGAGGTGCGCAATATGGCACTTAACGACGCTGTACAATGTAACACTTTTCACTATTTATTTTATGAGTCGGTGAGTCCCATGTAATAGGGGTGAGCCTATTGCCATATACCGGGCATATTTCCAGACTGAGATTTTTTTTTAGAATCGGGGACTCGGGTATCGAATCCGAGGCCCATTGCCCGGGAATCACACTTACGACCACTTGGCCAACAAGGCAGTCTCTACGTCTACTAGAAATCTCAACTCAAAAAGTCTATTCAAACCATCCAGTACCTACAACTACAAACATGCTAACGCGTATATAGGAATTGAAATACCATTTGAATACTATATTACTAAGAACATAAGACGGTCCAGTATGTAATTCATACAATATCCATCCTTATAGCAATACGTAATATGACCAGCTGTTCCAGTACGGTGTATGAATAGTTTATAGTCGATTATTCTATGGCTACTAGTTGTGGAGAAACAGCTGGTATCTTCAATACATTTCTTGTTCGAATTTTCATGTTATTGAGAATTTATAACATATCAATTTTTTGTATGGGGAGATAAAGGTGCATAATTTATTTATTCTTAAGGATAGAGATTACACCAATAATATTTCGACATCAAACATAATAAGATAATACGGGTTCTTTTTCAAATTAGATATAAATCTTAATCATTATAATAGGGTAGATGTCTATTTTTTATTTAAATGTCCGTCTGGTAAATTATTTTAAATCAGTCGACACGTATTTTTTATTTTCTAACAGAAACGAATACTTTCAACGATATATTGTTTTGAAATGTCGCGTGACGTCATTTCTGTGTACATTTTATACATGGAAATGACGTTTTAGCTCCCACTCCTAAACTTTGATTCGTTTATTATACGACAAAATAAAAAATAACGTGTAGAATGTTTTTATTAAACGGTTTTATTTAGCTCACCCCGTTTGTTTTATTATTTATTCTTGTTCTTGGGTCAAATTTAGTAATTCAAATTTCACCCTCTTCCTGTCAACCGATTAATCTGAAATTTTGTATACACTTTGGATTTTGGTGACAATACAATTATGTTTACCTATTCATTATCATAATAAATTCAAAATGGCCACCGCTACAAAATGGCGGACAACGTAGGTTTTATCAATCCCATCAATATGGGTACCAAATGAAAGGGCTCAACAAGCGAAATACAATATAATATAAAAAATTGAAATCCAAGATGGCGGCCGCTACAAAATGGCGGATAACGTAGGTTTTATCAATCTCATCAATATGGGTTTCAAATAAAAGGGCTTGACAAGAAGAATACAGTGCACTATACAACCTCAATATTTAAGATAACTAAATGGCGTATAATAATTTAAATAGATTTAAATTTAGAAATTGAATCTTTAATTTAGGTATCTGATTAATCCAGCCTGAATCCACCACCCAAGTCAAGATTTTGTATCGTGTTGAGGACTGTGTGGCGTTAGGGTGGCTAAAAATGATA